GTGTGTGTGTGTGTGTGTGTGTGTGAGCCTGAGTATCTATGTCCGTCAATGTCTTGGAAGTCGTCCCGTCTCCGTCTTACCTCAGCTTAAAGAGGAAGTGTTACGCTCCCGGGTCATCCAGGGGAGAGAGGGAGAGATTAATGTTGTTTAAGTGGACGCTCGCCTTAGTCATTGCACATGGGTTAGGGTTGAGTCTCGGTTGTAAGAATGGCGAGTCGGAAAGTTGTCAGGTTCTCTGACGTCGGTGAGTAACTGATGATATTAATGCAGCTCAGACGTGGGTGGAAAAAACCACAGCTTTTCTTGAAAGGATGTGTGGATTTTATTGTTGAATTAATCTGGTTTACAGCATTTCTCTTTTCAGGATCAAACCCTTTAAGTGCAATATATGTCTTTATGGATAAATATGTTTTATATGTTAACTTGCTCCCTTTTAAGTGAAAGTTTTTCTTTCATTTACATGTCTGCTCTCCACTACATCACTACTCTAATAATCCCAGAACCAAACACATCACATGAACAGATCTGATTCTGAATGTGTGAAGATCACAGTTTGTTTCTCTGTTTCCCAAACAGTGGAGCATGAGCAGATTCAGAGAAGAACTTTCACCAACTGGATAAATGCTCAACTCGCTAAGGTATGATGGGATATATCTGTGTGATGCTCATTGTATAAATGGTTGACCGTGACATGTTATGCATTTGGGATACGACACTGTTCTTCAGCCACTGCATTTCAGTGACAGATCACATAAATAAATGGCTGTAAATGATATGAAGCAGGCGGTGGAGGGTAACGAGCTGACTCACTGGTCCGGCAGCGAGGTGCAGTGAGGCAGCTCGTCCTGAATCTCACTGGAAAAAGACGTTGAGCCGCTTGTGACATTCGCCCGGAGTATAAATAGTGCTTCAGTGGAGCGGAGCAGCACGTAATCTGAAGCCAGACACCTCTTCATAACCGCATGTCCATATGACTGCGCTCTAACGCCAAAATTACAACTTTCCAAGTGTTACACCAGTCTGAGGTCAGTTACAGCCCCTGACAGAAGATATAATCTTAACGTCTACAGGTCAAAGTTCACTGTTGTTGCCTGAAGCTTTGGCCCAGACACTGAATGAATCCAATAAAGATTCAGTTTTAAGGGCAGGATTTGAAAATGCAATGTGTGAAACATTTTTAAAACTACGTCATTATTGGCCAATAAGCGCGTGATGGCCAAGTTGACCACAGTACTATACAAGTGGTAGAGTTAAGGGTCACATTTCCCTTTTCTTAGGTTTCCAGTTTGGTTTACTTAGAGGTAAACACTTCAGAAATTATTTTCCCATCAACCTTTTCATTTCCTTTTACCAGAAAGCCACACTTCCTATTTTATACAAGATGATGCAGCACATTTCCAACCTGATGTGACACAGTGACCCAGGGTCGTTTAAAGAACTCAGTTTGATCTGATTGATTAGTTATTATTATTTGACAGAATGTTTGGGTGGGTGCTCTCATTACATTTGATGCTTTTGTAAACTCTATGACTTAATGTGTTGAGGTTTTATTCAAGGGATTTTTTATTATGTATTTGAAAATACAGAATAAATCATTTAATACAGTTTGTGTTTTGTTACAGAGACGTCCTCCCTCATTTGTGTCGGACCTGTTCTCTGACCTCGGAGATGGATCGAAGCTGCTGGACCTGTTGGAGGTGATGAGTGGTCAGTCACTGGTGAGCTGCTCCACTGCACTTCTGACATAACTGAATAAAGTATTGGGTTTTGGGGGTAAACGGTCAAATCAGTAACAGTTAAGTTGATGTTGTAATCTGTCTCCACAGAAAAGACAGAGGGGCCACGGGGTTTTCCAGCAGAGGGCCAACATTGAGACGGCTCTCGATTTCCTGAAGAAAAAATCTGTAAGTTTCACACATTAAAACAATCTGAAGCTCTCGTGTGTTTTATTGATCATATTTCCTGTGGTTCATTGTCGTGTAGATCAAATTAGTGAACATACACGTCCCAGATATCATAGATGGACGCCCCTCGATCATCCTCGGACTTGTGTGGACCATCATTCTCCACTGTCACGTGAGTACCAGTGGTAAAGCCTAAATCTCTACGACAGCACCTTTCTTTAAAAATCATTTCTAACGTGAAGATATATTGGTATTGTTTCAGAT